TTGTGTAGAATCTGCTGATGTGAAAATTATTAAGTTTTTAACATTTTATTCCTGTCCACAACGAAATGACAACATTATAAGCATGATTGACGGCTTACTAAGCTAACAAGACATAGAAATTCGGTAGGGAAGATACTCGTAGGTTAATCTTAAACTCGTGTTTAATAAACTAATACAAATTAGAGCTGTTTTAATTTCATAAGGTCTTATGACTATGTATAAGTCATTGCAAAGAAACCTAATTTTATTTAAAAATAACATAAATTTACCTCTAATTGTAGCCCTTTACCAATATTTAGTTGTCTCACTTTACGGTTTGGGACATGATTCGAGTCGAAGGTAGAATGAGAAGTAACCCACTAAAAAATCGTATAGGAATAAAGTGCATTATATTCATATGCTACATAAAGTAGCGGTATTACAATAATTGATTGGCACGGATATTTAGTTTTTGATTAGGATTTTAGGGTTACCAAGACTGAATAGAACAGAATGAAGAATATTTCTTATCAACAAAAATACGATAGTAGAAATATGTCCTTAAATTAATTTTTGCAAACGAGAACCGCAGCTCATAACAAGGTTTATGCAAATACACCTTCTAAAGGCATTTTATAGAATCCTGCTAAGATGATTGTATATGAACTTTAGTATCTTTTTTCTGTTCTGTATAGGTATTTTAACGTATATATTAATAATTCAGAGTTACAATTAAAGGATATTTAAGGCTATTACCCATTTTGGTGGACACTTACGGTGCATCTACCTTATGCAGAGAGAGCCCACATACTTAAGTAATCAACAAGTGTCCATCATGGATAATGTAGAAATTTAAAGGTCAGTAGTTCAGTCAATGGTCAGCCTCGAGAGCTTTGAGTATACATTCAATTTTTCGTCAATAGATTGAATTAAGTAGTTTAATTTAGGCGTCACCATAAGATCATAATATAGCGATATAAACTATATACTAAAGAAAGGACTACCTGTACGCGGTACAGCAATATAATATAGAAGACCTAGCAAAGCATAAGTTAATTAATAAAACCCTAACTTAATGGCGCAGTTACTATAGCAACCTTTATCCGTCGGCTATTACATCATCCACATGAGACTAAAGAGTAAAAGCGCGGCATGGCCGCAGGTTCAACTGGGATTTCTAGCCAAGCAAGCTTCATGGTTATCAATAGTGCCCTTCCTCATGCAGGACTTTGCAAGGACTACTTATAGGTACGAAATAACCAATGAGTTAGTAGTCTGTAATCGCTGTAATCAAAGCGTGTATTTAGTGTATATGCAGTGGGATAGAGCTGTTTAGCCGAGTAGAGTTTTATGTCACCTGTCGATTCTCTTTTTATCCACTTGCTCCTATTTGCAATAAGCAGCGCGCAGTCGGATTGATAGAATTAAATCGACGTCACAGCAAAATCATCAAGTTGTTATTAGCCGATTTTTAAAACATCTATTGGTAAGTGACCTATTCCGTTTGGGTATCCATCCTTATACATTGTATTTCAAGTAAAAATAGAAATGAAAGATAGGTAAACGACGCCAACGAAACTATATTATAAGCATCCTTTCTTATTTTGCACTATCATTGATGTGGCTAGCATGCATTTTGCCATTATCTATTAGAGTAAAACGATCGTTGTTTGATGGTCATTATGATTATGAGTATAATGTATTTGTAAGCTGGAGAGAATTTTGTTAATGTACACGTAAATTAGTCTACTCCTTGGATTTAGTTTGGTATTGATTTTGATGCCAGCACACGATTGTTCGATAGCGTTATCTTCAGTAATCACCCACAGAGATTGATTGAATAATTTTCGGATAATCTTCCATGCGGAATGGATAGCGACATTGTAAAAGTTGATTTATTGATGCTTGAAAATTGTCTATAATGGAATAATTGATGTTGTTGTGTTTAAACTACGACTGGCACGCACATACAACCATTCCGACATAACCTCATCACGTAAATTAGTCTACTCCTTGGATTTAGTTTGGTATTGATTGATGCCAGCACACGATTGTTCGATAGCGTTGTCTTCAGTAATCAGCTACAGAGATTGATTGAATGATTTTCGGATAATCTTCCATGCGAAATTGATAGACGATATTGTAGAAGTTGATTTGTTGATGCTTGAAAATTGTCTATAATGGAATAATTGATGTTGTTGTGTTGAACTACGACTAGCACGCAAGTACAACCATTCCGACATGACCTCATTAATGCAGAGAGATAATATCGATCCGATGATTAGTCATGAATGGTTGCAACGAAGCTTGATTTCAATCTTATTTGTCTCTAACCTGTCGTTCAAGTCTTTAACTAACATACTATTGAATTGAGTGCAGGAAAAGATGGCTGATGATGAATCTGTCTCTTCCACGAGTGGGCTTCCTCACCATACCCGTATACAATCACTGTACGAAAAGGGCAACTCGTACAAGGCTGCCTTCCAGTTGGTGGACGGACTATCTTGTTATACACAAGCTGTCGATGCGATTGCTTCGTTGTCGAATCCTAGTGCGGATATTGATCGACTTGCATGCGATATTTATCTTGGTCTTTGTGACATTTACACTTTACAATATCAATTCAAGGAAGCTGTTGATTGGAGTGAAAAGGGACAAACTGTGGCTACTAAACTGCAAGATAAAGTGCGCATGGCTCAATGTTTACTAAGAAAAAGCGAGATTAAGAGACGCCAGGGGGATTACAACGGAGCACTGCAAGACGGTAAGAAATCGTTGAAAATGAAATTAAAATGGTTAGACGAAAAGGATACTCGTCTTGCCGATAGTTATCATCAAATTGGGCGCGTCTACTGGAACTTGTGCCAGTACGATCAGGCTATGGAGATGCATGACAAGTCACTGCAAATTCGATTGTCAGTCCTTGGTCACAATCATCCCGATGTTGCGCAGTCATATCACAACATAGGAGTTGTCTATCATGACCAAGGCAAGTACGATCAGGCTGTGGAGATGTATAACAAGTCACTGCAAATTCGATTGTCAGTCCTTGGTCACAATCATCCTGATGTTGCGTGGTCATATCACAGCATAGGATGTGTCTATCTTGACCAAGCCAAGATCGATCAGGCTATGGATATGCATGACAAGTCACTGCAAATTCGATTGTCAGTCCTTGGTCACAATCACCCTGATGTTGCCAACTCATATAACAACATAGGAGTTGTCTATAGTCACCAAGGCAAGATCGATCAGGCTCTGGATAACTTTAAGAAGTCACTGTATATCGCAACCTTAAGCGGAAATGATGGCCTAGTTACAATGACCAAAAAGAATATCGAAATCGTTCTCCGGCAGCAGAAATCGCCGACATCAATAGCGAGAAATTGGATCAAAAGTATCCTTGAACGGTTTCAACTGAATCAAACCAACAACGATATAGCGCCAGCAAATACGATCGACGGCAGCCATAACAACCAACACGTACAAGAGAAACGTAAGTAGAGTTTTAATACAGTAGTAGACGAGAGAGCGATGGATAACCGTAACCCTATTCTGCATTTTGTTGTTCTACAGCTTTGCAAGAAAAGAAATATTACAATGCATATAGCAAAGCATTAAAACATGGCCATTGCTTTAATCGTTTAATACGAGGCATGTTTATTGGCCCTCGC